TTCAGCATCGATATCACAATGTGATCCTTCGAAATTGTCACATTGCAAGATTTTCAAGATTGAGTCTGTATTATAACGCATCATCTGCGTTTGTTTTTGAAGCCTGTGACTGTATGAGGATTGTAAAATCATTCAGCCTAGAGAAATTGTAGCGTTAGTAACTTTAATAAACATTTTATTATAGACGTTTTATTGAATTATTTTTATTTTTCACTTATTGTACTTGAATACTGTTAGACTTATAAAACACTTTGTTTCACCTGTAACCTTTCCTTTAAATATATTTATCTTTGCTTTTAATTTATTTATTACATTTTATGCAGATGCACTTTCCTACAGAATCATCCCAATCCAAAATGATCAATTCTCTTCGTTCCCAATATTGTGCAGAGCTAATCATAACAGCTTATTAATAAACAAGCATTTTACAAAAACTTACAGATACAACAACACTGATAAAAGAGCTTTCAATTCGATCGTTGATAAATATTCCAAAATTCCTTCTGGAAACACCTTTTTCAGCATTTCCCTTAGATTTTTTTCCTAAATAAAACCCTTATCTGATATAGTTTTAAAAATATATGCATGCTATTAAAATGTTTTATAGTCAAAATGCACTTATACAAGTCACAAATACGTTTTTCTTACCCTTTCAATAAATAAAGTGTGAAAAGTCCTGAGTCGCCAATTCTACACTTGTACGTACAACCTGGTCATGTCTACTTTCAAAACGGTTCCTATTTCTGTGTGGTATCCAAAGTTTTGAGTATTTCTGTAAATTATGAGCAAATGTGGTGGGAAATTACTACAGAAGCAAGATCACCCTAAAAGACGACATCAAACATTACATCTGTTCAGGGCATGATCTCACCTCTTGACAACATGCCCATTCACAACAATCATTTCCCATTAATTAAGGTTTAGTAGTTAAACGAACAGCAGTGAATACAGATGTTAACCTTCAGGGAGCCCTTAACATGTGGCAAACTTTAATTGTGGCTGTGATGTTGTCAATAAAAATAAATTAAAGGATCAGTTCAGACCCAAAAAAGAAAATTCTGTCACCGTCTACTAAATGATTTTAAATTCAAAGATACAGTCACGTCATCTACTCATTTCAAATAGTCAATTCTACACAATACTCCAAAAAAAGGAATATAGAATCAAACCAACATATGGTAAAACATCTTTTTTCATACAGTATGACTTTACCGGGGGACAGAATAAGCTATTCAATGCATGAAAAATTGAAGCACAAACTTGATTAGGAGAGCTCAACCAATAACATTAAGTGTTGGGAGCCATGCAGCAAAATTACACCTGAAGCTATTTAAATTGTGATGCAGTGGGGAAACTATTCTGTGTTTATAGTGTTAAACAATGATCCAAAGACACTCTTGTGTTTTCCCTAAAACCTTTATTCCGCATAAGAAATTAATTGTTGCTGTAACTTAATTTAATTATGAAACACATTTCCACACATTTGAACAGCATTATTTAAACTAGTTTATGGTGTTATTTTAACCTATTTGAATTGCGTAATTTCAACATAATTTTGGCAAATAGCCCTTGAGCTAAATGTTTTTTTAATAATTTATGTTTAACATCTCTCATTAGAATTACCCTGCCCTGTGGACACAGCTTACTCTTCAGAAGCCAATTCATTTCTAATCACTTAATTTGGATAACAGGAATTTTGCGCTATTTATTGCAGCTGCTTTGATAATGAATACAAATAGCTGACACTAATCTTAGATCTAGCTTTAGTACAGTTAGTCTCATTAAGCAATGCACAAATATATTATAATTAAGTTGCCAACACCCATACTCTTCTGCAAGGTGTAACCTTAAAACTACACATTATATGAAACTCTATAAATTTTAAAACCAAGTAAGGATTAAATTTAAAAAAAAAAGTCTTTTTCCTAACTTAAAACATCAAAGAACTTTATTGTCAACATTTCCTCTCTTAGTTCAATCCCACGCAAGGCATGCATCGAACTATACACTAACCAGGTTGAAACAACACAATTCCTTCATGTTGTCCCAACACAAAACAATTAGGTTAACTTAATGTTTTACAAATATAAATGGATTGAATATAAAACAAATTGTCTAAAGAAATGATAATAATTGTGTTGTTTCAGCTCATTTTATAAAAGTAGTCTAAATAAACAGTAGCAATCATGTTAATCACAAACAGAAAAAAACAAGGATTGATCTGAAATCTGAAAATATTGCACAACATTATATAGTGGTGTGCAATATGTAACTAAATATCTAAGAAAGCTTTCATTACATATTTTGATATTGATTAAAAATAGTTTTTATTAATAAACAAATAAATATATTTATCAATTTAACAAAATGCAAAAAAACATATTAATTGAATAAAATAAGTCAAGTAATTCTAAATATTAGCAAACAAGTAACGACTTTTGCTTTAATAAACTATTAATTACCTTCTTTTTAATAGTTATTATGGTATTTTAGGTATTGAGGAATATCTAATAAGATAATGCAGAATAAGTAGTAATAATAGAAGTACAAATAAGCAGTAACCAATATCTCAATAACATGCATGCTAAAAAGCAACTAGTTAATAGTGAGAACTGCTCTCTAAAGTGTGACCTTATTATGTATTAATTTTGATTAAGTTGATTCTGTAGGGGAGTGAATCATGCATAAAATGTAATAAATTACAAGCATATGATAAAAGCAATAAAGCAAAAATAACAGTGAAATAAACAGTGCATGCTTTGGTTTTGTATATGTAAATGTAGAAATTACACTGCAAAGTCTTTATTGTATAATTAATTCAATAAAATGATTCTTTATTAAGCTTCCAATTGGTAACACTGTTTGTGCCTGAATACTTCAATCTCTCCTAGACCTTAATAACATGCAAATTATAAAATTTCACTCCATTGTGGTTAAACACTGCATCAACATTGAAGCAACAATCCCAACTCAACATTGCATATCCTGCAATGTGACTATTGCAGATGCACACATTGCGATATCGATGTTGAAACGATATATTGTGCAGCCCTAGTTACCATAAGAATTATTACATGTCATTTAGATTCAGACTAATGAATAATTTAGAACATTGTATAAAGCAGTCTGATGTACGTGACTCAAAAAACAATTCAGTCACAAAGCTAACCTCATTATAGCTGTGTTTACATCTGGTATTAAGATGTGTATCTATCAATCCAATCACAAGTCAAAGATGTGAAATACTGGTTTAAATGGAGACATATTTTGAGCTTGCCCACTTTTGACCACTTATAGATAGGCTGAAACCATATGAGACTGGATTGCTTTCATAGTGTAAATGCTCATGTAGTTGAATGCATTTGAATAGCCACAAAAGACCAGCCACTCTCCACTACTGACTCAATCCTCAAATAGTTTGATATATGTTGGTGAAATGTGCAGGTGTGAATTCTTAGGTTTGGTTTGACAGTATAAAAATGTAAAAAGTTCAATGTTCTCTTCCAGTCTGGATTCAAACACAAACTCAGATAGAGTTCAGCATAGTTCTAAGTTAAATGTTAAAGAAAAAATGCTGGTCTCTATTTTGCTTTCTGTCTGCATGTGTGAGTCTATTTTTACAATAATAGACTGAGAGTTCAGGAAATCAGGAAATTGCTCAAAGTAGACAATAAAAATGGACACTGTGTAAATGGGAATGTTTCTCTGATCCGATTGAATAGCATACATCTTAATACCATTTATACAGCCTATGAATGATAATCATGTTTTATTCCACACATTACTATTGATTAGGTACAAAGTCCTAGGAAGATCACTATAGAAAGTTCCATTTGTAAAGGGGTGTATACATAGACACACACACACACACACACACACACACACACACACACACACACACACACACACACACACACACACACACACAGAACACTTTCTTTAAAAAATGTCCCCATTTCGAACTCACGTTATACATACAAGCATCAGCCAAATAATTACACATGAAATAAATTAATGCTATCATTGTTAATTTATCTTAGTGTATGGAATGGGACCACATTGTAAAGTGCTACATCTGCTACATCTGTGCTACATCTAATATCTCTATGTTTCAACTGTGACAACATTTATTTATGTATATTGAGTACACCCCATTTTTAAAATGAATATTTTTTTCCATTTCTCATTGAATAGGCAATGCATTAACGGATATATTTATTAAAATACTAACTAAATTTTCCATATTTTTAGTTTCTTTTGATTTTTCCTCTTTTTAAATTTGTATTAAATATTTATCTATAACATACATTTGGGTGTACTAGTTATTACGTAAGGTATTTTGTTAGATAATCTCCAGATTTGGCTTCAGTACTGACTAATCTAATACATATTAATTTAAAAGATAGATTTGTAAGGGTGTACTTATATATGCTGAGCACTGTATTTAAATGCCATGCCAGCAGCACTGGCTTCATGTTAACATTGGTATTTAATACATAATGTATCATCATTAACAGTTTCTTAATAAACAAGCTCTACACGAAAACATTCAGATAACTGACAATGAGATATTCCAGAACTACATTATTATTACTAATATATGCACACAGCTTATGTTTCTTTATCACCAAGGAATTAAACACTAGTCATTTGCTCAGGAAGACATTGATTTGGATTGTTTGACCGATGAAAAACCACATCCGTGATACTTTAACCTTGCGGCCATTATTTCATTTCATTTATGCTGCAACACTGAAATACTGCCTACCTCGGCACACTACAGTAATAACACAGAACACAGCTTGTGTGTGTGTGTGTGTGTTTATTTCTGGAAGTCCCGTCTCTCCGCAACATGGCCGACACTATGGCTACAGCTTTACATTGTTATTGTTTCAGCCACGGCATAAACTGAGCACGTACACTCAATATAACAAACACATGTATAGAAAAAAAAGTTACATTTAATAAATCAAACACTTACGAACAGTAAGCCTACTCACCATTTGATGATGGTGACCATAAGGGATATTTGTCTCTTGAAAGAAGGCACTGAGGGCTGTCTGTGAGTGAAAGATCAGAACACAACATTACTTCACATGCCGTATTATAATAATTACAGGCTATTTTAACATCACGCTAGACTGGGGAACAGTAGGGGTTCGCTTATTTGGGAATGGCTGTAGGATTTATCCTGATCCAAACGAGAAACGAAAGCACAACATTGTATCAGTGTTGAGCTCTTTGAGTGTAATCTGTCAGCGGTCATCTTCATTGCATAATAGCATGGGAAGCTAGTACAGTGTGTCATGTGGACGGATTATAGTATTTAATCTGGAGTAAACTCTAATTGGATAGTAGCCTGTCTGTTGAGCTTTTTGCAATTTTTATACTATAAAGGTGTAGTTTTTCATACAACAAAGCACATGCAAAGGCAATTATTATATTTAAAAAACGCTCAGTGAGGACACTAAAACACGTTTGGGTCATTGTTATCACTCTGATAATACAGAATGACACATATGCATATGTGTGCTATGCAGTGCACCACATAAACAATGCACTGGCGTAGGCATGCATAGTGTGCTCTCCGCTGCGCTTACCTCAAACTGCCAATGTGCCGCTTGCAAAAGCTGTTTCGCCTGGTCTGCGGCACATCCAGCTGTCAGGACGAACTGGTTGATCATAACTTGATGTTTGAGTTCATCCATTTTGGCTGGTGCTTGTTTCCGAGCCACGAACACTGGTGTTTTCACCCGGGACAGGATTTTCGAGATTTAGCCTCTCTCCGCTTTTCTCTTTCAGTCGTCCACCATTACAGCCGGTTGAGCAAACACAAATATTTACTGTAGGAGCGCTGGTGTGACGAGCGCCGAATGATTGACACCGCGAATCAGCCAATCAGAGCGGGGCGGGGATCATGGGAATTGTATGCGTTGGGATTCCACGTTTGTTGTGTTTCTGATGACACTATGCTAGTTTGGCGTTTATGTTGAAGCGGTAGATATACACATTACGATTTGGTTTATATAATGTCAAATGATCGATTCTTAAACTGAGAGAGGGAATATGTAGATTACACAGAAATGACAATGGCGCGTGCTGAAGTTGCTCTTTAAACAGCGAAACTGCAGGTCCCGTCATGCAACGCTTTGTTTGTTAAGTTCTAGAGGGCTGAATTTATGAATGACGGTCGTTCCCGTCCAATTCCCATTCGAGCTATGCCACTACCTTCCCAAATATGGTAAACAAATCTTCCAACACCAATTAAATCACTAGCGTCTTAACAGAGGACCTCCGATGTACTTTTAGCGCAGTCATTTCTTTTGCCCTGCTAATAGTAAGCAAATGGCGACTACTTTTAGATGACGCCGCTTTTATATTTATTATTATTTTTTATTCTATTTTCACAACAGTGCGTGAATCTTTCGTTTGCGTGAATGCGTAATGTTAAAGAAAAAAGCATCACTTTAAAATACGACATCAACAAAACATTAAATCGTGGGAATTTTTGTGGTCTTTAAGATTCCAAATTTTTGGGGTCCAAATTGAGACCCCCAAATATTGTCAGGAAACCCCATCCTAAAAGTATAAAGCCCCAGTTTATACTGTGACAAAATATTATATTCCATGGGTCTAGTCTGTTTTTGAAAACTATTTAGTTTTTTTTTAATGTTTTTTTAGGCATTATATTAATTGTTTTCAATTGTTCACATTGCTATTATTGGTTTATTGTTTACACTTTTATTTTACCTCATTTTAATTTAACATTATTGTCATGTTGTATTAATTTTAATTATTACAATTATCATAATTATTACAATTGAACTGTTATTAAATTTAAAATAATGTTTCTTCTTACTACGGTGACGATGATTATGATTATTATTATTATTATTATTATTATTATTATTATTATTATTATACTTAGGCCCCAGCATTTAATCTGTTTACATTTTACATAACGTTCTACTTGTTATAGTATTGTTGTTTAGTTTATTTTTACATTTTAATATTAATTTCAATCGACACTGTATAATTTATTTTAAAGTTATTTATTTTATATTGATTATTTCTAATCATTTGTTTTATTCCTATTTATTTTTGTTTATTTAATTTCCTTTTTTACTAATGTTAATTTGTTAATAGAATGCTTGATGATTTTTTTATATGCTGTTTATTTATTTATTTTACAGTTTTGTGCGTTTTGTACTTTTGCTTTTGTGCTTTTTGACTGGGACACCTATCATTTGCTGCACTGACATGTGGAATATTTAAACTGTCATGTGAATCACAAACAGAATAACACAATATAACATAATAAAAAAATATAACATAATAAAAACATTTAGCTAATTGCAATGTATTTAAAGTGAAAAAAAAAATGTAAATATAATAATAATTATTATTATCATTTTAATAATAATGATAATAATATTGATAATAATAGCAATGACGATAATAATAATAATAATAATAATAATAATAATAATAACAACAATAAACGTATTATTAATAAGCTAATACATAAATTAAATTTTTATTGTCTTCTGTTCAAATCAGTAGAGACCACAATAACAGACACCATTTCCCATCATCCTCGGGAAATCCCATCTCGCGAGAATATGGGCTCCCCAGTAGAGAGTCTTTTTCGTTAGTCTTGTTGTTTTTGTTTATATTTCGTTCACCGAGAAAAACGTCGTTTATTTGTCGTCTGCGTATGGGTTCAGAGGTTTGTATAAACCAGTCTGTTTTTTTCCGAAACGCCAAAACGTAGAATCAGAAGTTTATTCCTTTTGTTTGCAGTTCTTCTTGACGCCAGAGATGGAAATGTGTCCGTAGTAGCGGAGAAACAAACGGCATCCAGCTAACTGTCCAAAACAAACCTGCGTTTACCCACATATATCGTTCTCCAGTAACTCTTTACGTCTAAACATGGGTTCAATACTGAGCAGGAGGATTGCTGGAGTTGAAGACATCGATATTCAGGCCAATTCTGCGTACAGATATCCTCCAAAATCAGGTAAAATGTCACTTAAGTAAAGTGTCGACAAATGTTAGCTTTACTAACGTTACAAGTTAGCTTATAAGATTAGTGCGTGTTTTAGGATTTTCTGGTGTCATAAATCTACTTTTGCACGTTATTGGTGTTTGTTACATTTTGTACTTTTTCATTAGAAAAATCTGGTAATAACTGTGCTTTATGTCCTACTTTGGTTGTGTACAGAAGATATATTATTTTTTATTTGAAAAGTGTTTATTTTCCTGCTCTATCTTAGCATCATATCCATTCTAGGTTATAATCTCTATTAATAATAACGTTACCATTGTTGCAGGAAATTATTTCACTAGCCATTTCTTCATGGGAGGAGAAAAGTTTGACACACCCCATCCAGAGGGATATCTTTTTGGAGAAAACATGGACTTGAATTTCCTAGGAAACAGGCCTGTGCAGGTGACCAAATGAAACGACAACAAAACTATAAACAGCCTGAAGTTTTACATCGTCTTTTAGGGCTGCACGATATTGGAAATATCAGACATTGCAATATTTTCTTTTGCTGCCATTATATATTGTGATAGAAATATAATTTCACCAGATGATTTGAAAAGCTCTATTTGTAAAGAGTTCATTAATTTAGATTGACAGTGTTAATCAGGCATTTTTCTATGCTGTGCAGCTGCATAATTTATTGTAAAATACAAGCAAAAATGAATAAATAAACAATGTTTTATGGTTTTGAGTCTTAACAGTGTTCAAGTACAGTAATTGAACTATCAAATGTAAAATAACATGGTCATTATTGTATAAATAATATAGTAATATCTTTATTATTTATTCTTAAATAGAAAATGCAATCTTGTGATGTGACTATAGCAGATACACACATTGCGATACTGATGCTCAAACAATATATTGTTTAGCCCTGTCATCCTTACTTAAATGCATTATCCTGTTTTCCACAGTTTCCCTATGTAACTCCAGCAGCACATGAGCCTGTGAAGACCCTGAGGAGTTTGGTGAATATCAGGAAGGATTCCTTACGGCTTGTCAGGTGTGTATATGATCATGCCTTTAAAGTGCCTGGGAAATGAAATTAAGTTTTTAGATGTTAGCATCAGTCTATTGGGTTTAAGATTATCTATAGGTGATTGTGCTCCAAAACAGTGACAAAATTGGTATTAAGTAGATATTATCATCCAAAGTTCGCAGTTTGTCACTCCCACCTTAACACCTGTAACTCCCACCATAAGTCACAAACACGTCACCACTTATCAAGGGGATATGGATCAGTGATTTATTATTTTTTTCATTTACATCATCTCATTCTTTAGTTTCTCACCAAATCTTCTGACCAATCTAGTGCTCTCTAGTATCTGACATGTGCCATCTCTTCAAGACGTTTTTAATTTCAAGACTTTTCATTTGATGCGCCTGAACTCAACCGCTCTGTGTGGCAGAGCTGTCATTGGCTGTCTTTTAAAAAAAGGGGAGGGGCTACTTCGTCTCACCAAGGTTTTCATGTTTTTGTTGAAATGGTCACATTGAACAAAATTGCACATTTCAAAAGCACATCACCAGATCTTTTAGAAATTTCTGATGATGAAATACAATACAAAATACAAATATGCACTACTGTACAAAAGTCTTAGTCCACTAGTATTTTCACCAACAAAAGCTATTTTAAGTCACTTATTCCAAACTTTTGCTGTAGTGTGTCAGTAGAAAATATCAGATTTTATTTTCAAACATTTTTTTTGTTATAATCCAGCAAGATTTTTTTAGGCGTAAAGCAGTCAGTGCTTCACACAGAGATCTAATCTCAGCATCATCCAGTCCACCTGAAAAGACAAACTGAGTCTGACTAAATCCTGTAAACTACATGAAAATGTATGCACGAGTGTACATAGGACTAGAGCAGTTATAAATGCACATTGATAATAATGAGATCAGATCTCTTTGTGAAACACTGGCTGCTCTGAGACTGCTTTTGCATGAAAAAAAAAAATATTTTTAAATTATTACAATTACCAGGAAAAATAATGTTTGAAAATATAAACTGATATTTGACAAACCACCTGTAGGAAGCACTCTTTCCTCTCTATATGCACCAGATGCCTTCTTCTAAAAACTCCATGTTACTCATTAAGATACCACAAATGTTTACTTTTGAAAGCACTACGAATCATATTGTACTACCTGCTCTTTAACCTTAAATACTTCATTTACACACTATTTTGCACACACTTTAACAATATTATGTAAAGTACTTGTATAGTGTTAGGTTATTTGTATTGTCAACTGTTCATAGTATATGTTCAGTTAGATTATTGCTTCAGTACACAAAAAAGAAATAGAATACATATTACTTTTTTGAAAAAGTACATTATACTGTATAACTAGATTAACCATGTATATACTTGTTAGCTTTACTGTCTACCATACTCATACCTTAACTTTTTTTATTTTGATTGTAATGTAATCAGCGCACCATTTGTAAAGCTGCTTTGGAACAATAATTCTTGTTATATGATTATTAGTTGGTGAAAATAGTGACCCAAGACTTTTTTTTTAACCTTACTTTTTGTTTGCAGATATAAGGATGATTCTGACAGCACACCAGAAGACACAGGAGATCCCAGGGTGCTTTATAGTGTTGAATTCTGCTTTGATACTGATGCCAGAGTGGCAATTACATTATACTGTCAAGCCTTTGAGGAGTTTGCCAACGGAATGGCAATGTAAGTTTCCACTGTGTGGAGTTTCTGCAGTTTATGAATTGTAAACTAGTGGTTTTGTGCTCAGTTTTGTAACTAATGCTGATTTCTGACTGCATGATTTTCAAAGTAGTCCTGTCACAATGTTTTCACACTGCATGACCATCTGGGTTAGCTTTCGGTCACTGCTGTGTTTACATTGCAAAATGGATTGGCGACAGAGTGTTTCACAAAGCATGACTTTACAATAGAAAAAAATCGTCGACAACTTCGTCTTGGTGTGCAAATTAACATCTCGCACCCAAACAACATGAAAGTAGTGACATGGAACCAACATGAGGGCACATAGTATATCTTTTCTTTATGTTAATGAGAAAGAAGCCTTTAGATGTGTAGAAATGTACTTATGTTGCTCACCTGGCTTTTGAAGGGAATTATCAATTTCTCTCCAACTTTTTTTCTTTTTTGAACCGGTTGTGATATTGCTCAGATTACACCTCAAACAGACACAGGTGCTCTTACTAAATTTCCATGAGTTTTTCCTCCATTTCTTGAATCCAAATAGACTAAAAAGAAACCTTTTTTTCAAACGAAGCCATGCTTGTTGATATTGTGTTCTATACCTTCATAACTCCTCCCTCAGCTTCCTGCTGGCCTGGCTGCTCCTTTTTTATTGGCTGTAGGTAATTGCCAATGTTATTTTCAATCAGAACACAATTTACACTGCAAAATTGTGCAGACAGCTCTAGATATTTAGCATGCCAAATATCTCACAGGTCTTTAATAGTTGACACTGTGTATTGTTACTCACGTGAAGGAGCACCGATTTGCCTGTGATTTTGTGCATTTGTCAACGATTTTTTACAACCTGTCGGCGAGTCAAAATCGGGGCTAAAATTATACCGTCTGAACATGACATCAGTGATTAGTTATGTAGAAACTTGAGTTTCTTGTGATTGATAGCCTCGGTTTCTTTAAAGTCCCACTTGTGCCAATGGAGCCCAGTGAAACATAACCCTTTGTTATCTAGGCGTCTACACACTCCACTACATAGCAACTAGATTATTTGCTTAGAAAAAAGGTACAATTATTACTCGATCTTTTTGCAAAAGATTATTCCCTTTTACAATGGTACCATGGTTTTAATGTACATTACTCATAGCTGACACTCTCAGATGTGTTGATGACAATTGCTACTATTTTCTTTTTAAAGATACAGTGCCAAGAGCCCTTCAATGGTGTCAGAGACGGTCCATTATAAGAGGGGGATAAATCAGCAATTTTCTCTGCCATCCTTCAAAATTGATTTCACCAAATGGAAGCCTGAAGAGGTGTGATTTTTCTATGATTACATTTCTCTAGATGATTAGAAACTGGTTTGCATCTGTGCAGTCTCATCAAGGCAGACTTTTAAAATATGTATATTTATAATTAATATAAAAGCTATTATTAATAGTTAGTCATATTTTTTTGTAGCTGAACTTCGATCTGGACAAAGGAGTTTTTCCTTTGGTGGTCCAAGCAATAGTGGATGATGGAGATGGTCGGTGTAAAATCTTTTATAATAAAATACACTTAGTTTTGGTTATGTGTTATCTGTCTCCTCATAAAAAAATATATTTTCTTTTCCAGATGTCACTGGGCATGCACACGTTCTCTTGGCAGCATTTGAAAGGGTGTGTATTTCTTCAGATTTGTTTTTAGCTCAAGAATGTTAGCTGGACTCTTGCTGGATTTTGCAAGCCTTCGGTCATGTTTTACAACATTGAGTCAGTCATTAACCAGGCAGCATTTTATACAGTTAGGAAAGTTTGACATTTATAGTTCCCATCATCATGGAAAATTTGTAAATATCATTTGAAAGTTTATTTTGGTTGTGTTATTTAGTGAAATATTTAACCTTATAAATATTAGCACTTGCCAGAAAAAGTCTGGGAAAAGAATGGAAACCTTAAAATATTTTGGATATATATATATATATATATATATGTATATATATATATGTATGTATGTATTATAAACACTGTGTGTAGTGAGATTAATACACTGATAAATTTTTAATACGCACTATAATACAAGTCATTTGATCTCTCACATTTTTAAAGCACAAAATCCAGCTTGTTGTTTCTATGGTACTAATATGTATATTCCTTAATTTACAGCATGTTGATGGCAGTTTCTCAGTGAAGCCTTTGAAACAGAAGCAAATTGTAAGTATTGTGGATCATATTTTTCATTGTTGACTGTTAAGGCCATTATAAACTCAGCTGTTTTTTTAAACATTCTTCACTATTAAACATTGACCTTTTGGTTAGCGTTACACTTCAATTGCAACTATAAATCAGCACTTCAGTGTAATTGGTTTATTTCTCAGTTTCATTTAAAGTAATCCAGGGCCTCAAAGTAGTGGTTTCCAACCATTTTAGCCTGGAGAACCCCTATTTTAACATTCATAATACTCAACGATCCCTCAAACCCTTTAAAAAAGTGAGAAATGCACTACGACTACATACATTTTACTTATACTGTTATCTTGTACATTTAAAACATTTCTACATTTTTTTAAAAATCTGTTTTTTAATCTTTAAGTTATTTTATAAGTTTTTTTGTGCAATAAGCAATAGTAAAACTTATTTTTGCATTGATCTAAAAGAAAGAAAATGTTTATCCATTTTACATGAGGCGTTATTTTATCAGGAAGATAAAATTAATTGAACTGTCATTAAGGTTTTTCTCGAGACAATCGGTTTCCTTCTTATAATTTCACTTTGCACTCAGTTCAAGCTTCTTCATCAAACCTCAAAAATTTAATTAATTTGGCTGATTCCCTCCTAAGTCTTTGTAACCACTTCCTTCAAGCAACAAAACCTTCTCATTTGACAGTATATTTATGATTGTGACAGTGTTTTTTTCGTAATTGTCTACCTCATTAAACCAACAGACTCAAAGCTTTGATCCGTCCACACTCAATTACAGCAATCAAATGTCAAAGCAATAATCAGACCATGTCACTTCATAAAACAGATAATCGTCATTTTGATCTGTGCTGTGACGTTTCTCGTGCCAGTCTTTATTTCTCAAATCACATGCTTATCCTTTTATGAAGGTAGTTTTATCTTTGATTGAATAATAAATACGAACACAATAATCCTCCAGGTGGACCGTGTGAGTTATCTGCTGCAGGAGATTTACGGCATTGAAAACCGGAACAACCAGGAGACAAAGGTAAATGATGACTCTATGCCAGAGGATGTTGCACAAATGAGATGACTGACTGGTAATAGGATATTTCCTGTGTCTGATTTCATGTACTGTTTGTTTTGTCTTCTCTCTGCAGTCCACAGAGGATGAGAACAGTGACAACAGCAGCGAGTGTGTGGTTTGTTTATCAGACCTGCGTGACACACTCATTCTTCCCTGCAGGCACCTGTGTCTGTGCAATGCCTGCGCCGACACACTGCGTTACCAGGCCAACAACTGCCCGATCTGTCGACTCCGTAAGTGCTCATTAATCAATGCCTCAGCTTCCTGTATTCTTCTGCTATTATTATTCAGATGGGTTCCGCTTAGTGAGTGGGTATGGCCATAAAGATAAAAGACTGTGCTGTGATTTAAAAACAAAACAATCTGATATGGGGCTGATTTGCTATAGTGGTTTTATTCCTCTTTTCATTGTTCTTCTTGGTAATGAATACTGTCAGTAGTGTATCATTGATCGCTCAGGCATTGCAGATCATATGACTGTTAGAGAACAGAGCCATCTGCTGGGGTTGCCTGGTAATTGTTATTATTAGGTTGATCATAGTGTTATCAAATTTGGACCCACAAGGGCTGCAAGGAAGTGTCTGAGGGGGAAATTGTGTATATAACTGTAATAATTAAATTACTAAGTTATTATTACTATTATTATAACCTTTATTTTTCCAGGAAAGACACATTGAGATTAAAAATCTCTTTTAAAAGAGCATCCTGGCCAAGATTAGGCGATACAGGTTACATGGTTCTAACAAACAAAAAACAACTGACAGTTAACATGAGTCACACATTGACAAACAAACAATTCAAAACATCGACAAGCTTGTGTTTCAATTTCTATATCATTTCCACTCTTTTTAAAAGCATTTAGAGAAATCAATTCTTTAAGCTGCTACTTTGTAGATTATTCCATGCAAAAGTTGCTCCGTATTTAAAAGCATTTTTTTTCTATCTCAGTCCGCACTTTAGGAAGAGACAGTAAATAAATATCCTGTGATCGAAGGCCATAGCTAAGGACAGGTTTTTTTACAAATGTAATTCTGGAGAAATGATGGGAGTAAACCCAGTATAGATTTGTCAATGCTTGAGCCTACCAATGGACAAAGCAGACCAACCTACCCTAATATACAACACACAATGATGAGGAAGAGATTTAAATTAGTTTTAAATCTTAGAGCACCATGGTAAACAGTATCCAATGCATGCACACTCTGAGACGAAGCATGCATTTATATAACATTACTGTACTCCAACATCGACATAAATGTTGCATCAACCAGCTTCTTTTTAGCATTAAAATAAAAATCGCTAAAATAACTTTTAATTTTTTCACCAATTGCTGAATGATAGTACTAAAAGAAAGTGTATCATCATACTGGGACACCTATTCAATCTTTGCGCCATGAGTAGTAGTAATGGAACCCAGCTTTTGCTTAGTTTCTTTTGAATTTGAAAATAACATAAGCTTTGTTTTAACGGCATTTAAAACTAGTTTTAACTCAGCTAAATTACATTGAAGCACATTAAAAGCTATCTGTAGTTGAGAAAGGGCCAGGGTCACTTGGTGATTTCCGAAAATCTCATATATGTTAATAAACTATTAAAACTACTGTTTTATCCAGAACCTATAGAAGATAAAAATAGTATTCAAGTGTTGAATAAAAACAACAACAACATGCACATAAAAAAAATCATCAGCCTTTCAATTTTTTTTTCTATTGGATTGCAACCCCTGACTTTATTATTCACAACACAGAAATGGGATTAGTTATAGCAGATTAATTTACAGCACGATGTTCAACTTTTACGGCACTGGTACATTAAAAATAAAAGTCACGACTGAACATAGAGGATGATCTCCAAGTGGAGGTCTCCAAAATTAAACAAAGAATAGTCTTGTGGTGTAAACATTCTGCCTGCCTCTCTCATTAACCCTTTAACTGCCCCACCAAAAAAAAAAATAATTGCACTTCTGAACTTCGAATGTCGCTAGTTAACCTACTCAGTGCATTTTTTTACAACACATCCCATGATTTCTAAAAGATCAACCTCTGCCAAACAGTAGATATGTCATTTTATGGTAAAAGAGCTGGAATTAATACATATTCATGAAAAATATGAGTGTACGACCAATTTATTTAAAAACATAATCAAAATAAAACATTTTTTGAATACTAAATAGTCTTTATTTTTTAAAGTATGCCATCAAATATTACAGATTTTCATTTAACATCTTTTCTTGTTTATTTTTTTTACAATAAAGCCAAAATCAAGTGTAATAGTGCAACAGGATTGTTTGTTTGTTTGTTTTTTGCGAACCAACAGTGCTGTGTGTGTAAACCATTATTTAAATCAGTCATTCTTTACATGACGTTAACAGTAATTATTCAAAATTGTCAAAATAAGGTCAACCATTTGGTAGAGCAGGCATTTAAAGGACTAAGTGAGGTTAATATTAAAGTAAATGAATAATTACTATGATGAAAAAAATGATATGGTCGTTAGACTGTAAAATTATTTTGTGTTGTCAAAATGCTTGTGTTTATATAGTTCCTATTGGTGTATGTTAGTCGTGTGCAGTGTTTGTATATTTATAACCACCTCCGAGGATAGTGGGGGTCGCGAGTCACTGGGATTTTTATTTTTAGTGGTCACAAGCTGAAAAGTTTGGGAACCCCTGTCTTAAATGAGGGTTTTAGGGATGGGCAGTATTTATGATTTAAGTATTTCAAATATGTAGTTTAAATACTAAATAGTGCTTTGTCATTTGTATTTTGATAAGGTTTATGAAAATGGGGTCATATTTTGTATCAAAATACTTAAGTGTCTTGTGTTTTTGTATTTTTAAAAATCCTGCAAGATGTCTACATGATGACATCATCAAAATGCGGCCCCAGATTGATGCTTTCTCTGATATTTGCCTAAGCTTGAGATCAGAACAGAAAATTGATCAAGTAGGGGGTCAATGCTCGGAGTATGAATGGAAAATTTGCAACACACATAAAGAAAATAACAGACAAATGGCAGGGATGTATTTAAGTGCAAGTCAACAATCATTGAAAATAGTATACTGCACAATGCCAAGATCAGCCATATGTAATGGCAATATGGTGTACAATTAGGCATCCGCATCTTTGCTTAAGAAATGGATGAAATAAAATATCAGTCCTTAAGAACAGGATGTGGAACCTTTAACACATCATTCTCAGTCTCAGTGCTGCAGGTGGAAATTCGGACGAACTTTAGAATAATAAAACAGCTAAAGATGGTGTACTGGTGTTCACTAACGGGGTAAACTGAGACTCTAGTTGAAGAAGAATTGAAATAAAACCTTGGGAGAATGAGTAAGTTGCATATATAATAGTAGTTTTGGAAGAATTACTGATGCCAAGAAAATAAGACAAAAACACAAAAATAAGTCCTACAGTGGCTGACTTAAACTTGCTCAGAGAAAAGCTCTTTTTATTAAAGATTGTTTACTTCAAATCAGTTTAATGATAAAGGTATTGATCAAATATGCCTGTTGATAGAAGGTTTATGGAGAAATGTTATACTCTCTTGAAAAAGTATTTTGTAGTATTTTCAAAACACAAAATGTGATGCATGTAAAATTGAGGTGTTTGGTATTTTATTTTAAAATACATTTCAATTAAATTTCATTGTATTTTTATGCATTTCAAAGGATGAAAACTGTCTGCAGTAATCACAAAATATTTGAACAAGCTACTTGTTCACACTAAAATGTCAGAAAACAAATTACTTGCATATACCCAAAACATTGTTAAATCTCTGAAACAATTATTTTAATAATCATATTTAGTATTTCGGTCACACTTTACAATAAGGTTTCATTAGTTAATTTAATTACTAACATTAACTAATTATGAACAATACAATTACAGCATTTAATAAGCGTTTCCTAATGCATTATTAACAACCAAATTCATACTTGTTTACCTTAATGCATCATGAGTTAACATGAACTAACAATGTACAACTATTTACATTATCTAACATTAACTAACATGAACAGATACTGTAATAAATGTACTGTGTTATTATTTGTTCATGATAGTAAATGCATTAACTAACATTAACTAATACAACCTTATTGTTAGGTATTACCATTATTTCACAGTCAGCACTACAGTGCTAAAAATGCATTTACACATTTATCTATTAAAGGTACTGTCATTAAACATTGAAAAAAGAATGAAAACATATTTTTTATATATCAAGATTATATTCAGCTATGAATTATTTGGCATCAACTGATTGTCTATATTTATTTTGTATTTTCAAAGAAAGGGCTTGAAAAGAACATATTTTCATGGATAACTGGCGAGGAAACATGTTTAGAAATGTAAAAACTATACAAACTTCGCTGACATGAGTTGGTAAGCTTTTGTGTACATGTGTAAATCAGGTTTCTGCCCTTTAGAACTTCTTCACTGTCAGAATGTGCACTGTTTTCGCTTCAACAGAAACACCAGCTGGGCAAATATTTACTCCTCTTTGTCGCCAAATGAATCTAGTAACATTTAAGCTCACCCATGTGAAGATGCAGCACCTGTGTTTATTTATGCACTCTGCACTTGTTTGTGTCCCTTTTTTCCCTCAAATGACCTTTTCCTCTCCCTGCTCCAGCATTCAGAGCCCTGCTCCAGATCCGAGCAGTGAGGAAGAAAACAGCCGCCACTCTCTCCCCGGTGTCCTTCAGTCCAGTGCTGTCCCAGAGCTCTGACCATACTGAGCATTCGGTAAAATGAGCGTGTGCTTGTCTAACTGTTAATATATCATTTATTCTGCTGTACTGTGTTACTAGAACGCCAATATTGATTTTGCCATATGAAATCTTGCTTTTGATTCCAGTACAGCTACAATTGAACCTTTTTTTGGCTTAAAGGGCACCTATGATGAAAATCATTCTTTGTAACTGTGTAGGTATTGTGTCCATAGTCATATTGTGGTGATATAAAGAATTTTTTTTTAAAATTCCTGACGTTAAAATAGGATCCAAATCCCTCCCATTTTGAGGCCCACCGCAACGTGACATAGAATAATTTCCCCACCCACCGATTTGATTGACAGACACATATTAACTTCTCTTCAAAGTAACATAATCATATCCACAAGATAGGATGTGTGCAAAGCAACTGGGCTTAAAAGATCTGTTGAGCTGGCTGTGATTCATCAATCATCGTCAAACGTGATCAAGAATGTGTTTTACAAGTTTAAAACAGTTTAATTAATTACAGCGATTTTACCGTGTTTATCACCACAGCTGCATAGTGTCAGTACAATTATAAAAGAGGGCACTTCAATCTTGGTTTGTGGATGTTAATTCAGGTTTATTTTGTACATCAACATAACAGATCTCCATACAGTAGTGCATATCAACACGTATCCTATCACATTTGCTGCGCAAAAACAGTGGAAAGTTAAACACGAGCTGGGTATGTGTGTCTGCTGTTTGTGCATGTGTATGCGTAAAATTTGTAACGACATTGTGTGTGACTCTTTGTTGCAACACCACAACAAATACATCATATAATCATTGGTAAAGTTCTTACTGTAGTATTTCTCACAAACGCTACGTGAGATCCGCTTCCTTTATGTCTGTCACCGTGCTGTTTATCTGATGCAGCCGGAGATTTGAGGTACACTCTGACAGGCATGTGGGAACTGTGGGCAGGGAGAACTAGCAAAAGGCACAGGAAAAAACAGCTACTTTGTATTCAGGGCAGAAAATTTCAATGTTCTAAAAGGTAAAATAAATAATCTGATGCGTGTTTTGAGCTGAAACTTTACAGACGCATTGTGGAGACACAAAAGACTGATCTTAAATTTTGAAAAGGGGGTAAAATAGGTGCTCTTTAAGCAGTTTTAGTAAATTCTACAGGTCTGTTTCAGGTTTTCTTAGCATGAGGTGAAAGTTTGGGATTGTTTATATTTAAAAAAAAAAAAACTTTTTATTTGAGAATGAGTTTCTTTTGCATTAAACGAGTGCATTGTTCTATTTGGTCAAAAATACAGTAAAAATTAAAAAAATAAAATAAAATTTTGGTTTAAATATTAATATTGGTTTAATAATATTATTATTTAATAATGGTTATAAAATCATATAATGGTAAAGCTGAGTTTTCAGCATCAATACTCCTGTATTCAGTGTTACATTTTTCTTCTGAATAACAATAATAATTATAATTTGCTAATTTGTAAGCTCAAGACATTTATTATCATTATTTAAATTCAAAATCAAACTAAAAGTGTTTTAGGGGTAATGGATGTGTCTGTTCCCTTTGAACAAGGATTTATAAAGATATACAAAAAAATCATAGGTCTAATGCACTCACAAATTTTTTGACTAATCGAATGCCTTGGGTTTTTGGACTTTTTGAAAAAAGTTATACCCTTTAAAAAAATGTTGAATGTGTTGTTGAAAAAGAACAGCATTTAATTGTAATAGAGAGATGTATAAATACTTTTACATTTTAGTAAAAAATTTTTTTAAATGAGGGTGACCATAATTGGGGGTCCCTTGGCATTTTAAAGACTAAATCCTTTGTCTGCAATAATCACAATACATTTAAACAAGTTGCCTATGAAACAATCCTTTTAATAATCATATTTATTATGTCAGTCACACTTTACAATTTAGTAGAAATAAAGTTGAAAAAGAACAGCATTGAATTGTAATAGATATAAAATGAAATGTCTGTTTTCACTTTACTGATACCAAACTGTTGAATCACGCTATTTGTTGTCAGATAAACACAACTCTTAACTTATGAGTTCTATACTCTTTTAATTTTGGAAAGACGAAATTCAGACCTTTAATTTCCATTTCAGTCAATTTAGAAAGCAAAATTATACACAACTAATGCTGACCCTTGTGCTGTACAGAATAGATAAATGGTGCTGAAATTTTTAAATAAAACATGAAACCGAGACAGCATAAAACAAATAGAAATGATTTTAGTCATTAGTCAAAATAGATAGTGTTGGAGCCTTTCTAATTTCCACAGAAAGGCTGATGGAACATTTTGGAAAGAAAGCTCTATTACCCCTCCTTTTTTATTGTCTGCTTCTGGGAACCACCAATATCCTTAAGTTGGCTGACCTAATAGCTCATGTAGTTTGGTGTTTTGTCAGAGATATACACCATGTAATAACTCAAAAAACACAATGAGAGATGTTTTTTAACATTAATTTTCTTTTTTGAATTTCAGAATGCAGACAACATTCCTCCTGGCTATGAGCCCATCTCCCTGCTGGAGGCCCTCAACGGTGTGCAACCCGTGTCTCCTTCAATCCCATCAGCCCCTCTATATGAGGAGATCCAGTTTTCGGGAGAGATGGGAGATCCTCTCAACCTGACCGGCCGGCAACAGAATGGAGATCCTGGAGCTCTGAAGGGCAAAGGTAGCAAGTCACCTGATGGGTAAGTTTCATAACTGTATTAATACTTTTGCTAATGAAAATAAAAATGCAAATGCAGTTTTTTATATGTTATTGATGTATGTTTGTTGCTTCCAGGTCTGTACGTTCTCCCTCGTCCCCCATTCAGGAGGAGGAAGACGAGGAGAGGATGTCGGAGCTCTCTGATGCACAGCCGCAATCTGTTTTGCCCTGTAGTCTCAGTCCCTCTGAGGTCAGTCACTGTCACGTCACAAATAATGAGCTATGGAATATCAATGTAATGTTTTACGATAAATTGAAAGGCTGATGCCAATGATTCAGCATAGATTCATAATTATAAACTACACAATTATAAAAAAAGTGATTAAATCATGTCAAACATATTAATAGAGTGTTTTATTTCAAATAATTTACCCCTTCATTATATACAGTTAAAGTCAGAATTATTAGCCTCTTTTTAATTTTTTTTTTTTTTTTTTAATTTTTCACAAATAATGTTTACAGAGCAAGGAAATTTTCACAGTATGTCTGATAATATTTTTTCTTCTGGAGAAAGTCTTATTTGTTTTATTTCAGCTAGAATAAAAGAAGTTTTACATTTTTTAAACACCATTTTAAGAACAAAATTATTAGCCCCTTTTAAGCGATATATATTTTTTCGATAGTCTACAAAACAAACCATCGTTATACAATGACGTGCCTAACTACTCTAACTTGTCTGGTAAACCCAATAAACCTAGTTAGGCCCGTAAATGTCACTTTAAGCTTTATAGAAGTGTCTTGAAAAATATCTAGTCAAATATTAATTACTGTCATTATGGCAAGGATAAAATAAATCAGTTACTAGATATGAATTATTAAAACTATTATGCTTAGAAATGTGTTGAAAAAAAATCTTATTTCCGTTTAACAGAAATTGAGGGAAAAAAAACAAGGGGGCTAATAATTCTGACTTCAACTGTATTTATTCAGTTAATTAATGTTTATATTCCCTATCATATAATATTAAAGCAGATGAATCAAACCCAAACGATTTCCTAAATAACCTGCACATTACATGCAACTTTTTAAATTACATGGCACAAATTTGCACACATATTTTTGTTTGTTTTTCTTGATATTAAATGTGTGTGATACTAAAATGTGCTTTACTTGGGCTCAGAATCCTGATGCACATATAGAGACCTCTCTTGATCACCATGGGTCTGTTTACACCTGAATGCTTCATGCATTTGTTTTGTACGATGTAAGATGTAAATGCCTCTCAAAATGTGTTTAAGATGGTTCTGAATCCTTCAGGGGGTGGTTTGGGGTGCATTCAAGACAAAATTGGATGGGTATAAATGAACTGGTTGTTGAAAACACATTTTTATATTTTATTTATATATATATATATATATATATATATATATATATATATATATATATATATATATATATATATATTTACACACATATATATATATATATATATATATATATTTACATATATATATATATATACATATATATATATATATATATATATATATATTTACATTTCATCTCAAAATGTAAAAAAAATGTATTACAGGGTTTATGAGTCCTATATAACAGTGCAAGTGTAGCACACAATGGCAATGCTACAGATTACAATTAGTAGTGTTTGTTCATTTCCTTTATTAACATTTTACATTCTATTTTTGACCTGTTGTTAACTGTTAGATGATAAAATTAGGATATCAAGTGAATATCAAATAGTAGCATTAACAATAGAGTCATATCATGTGCCTGTAGTAGCCTATCACTATGAATGGAGAGGGAAAAAAAAAACAAAAGTATAGTAGTATATATTTTAATATGTTAACCATATATTTTGTTGTTCATTTACAAAGGAATGGTTTTTATTGTTGGGCGAGTAGGTTATACACATTAATGTTTACCCTTTATAGTTTTGAATGATGTCTTGTGCATATTTGTACAATAAAAATTGATGTTTAATTTGGCCTGTAATGATGGTAATCGTAGAATCCACCTTGCGGTTGTGAAGTTTTACCGAAACACAAGTAGAGTACAAAGCCTCATGTAGCATACAGATAAAATAATTTGTATACTGACTAAGATATCTAGCTTACTTAAATTTGCATATAGCGTTGGATCAGAAGATCTGAATAATATCTGTGACACATCTTAGTGGCTAAATGTAAATAAAACAGTTTGAACAAATCAGATAGCTGTACCATCAGAGAAAACACATGAAGTGACCAGGTGTAACCAGGTCTATAAGATTCTGAATTAAGTTTGTCATCTGTTTTAAAGTAAACAAGCATTAGTTTAAGAAGAAACTCTGAAGTGCTACAATAAATGGGTAATTAATACACTTCAGACTAATACACTTCATTATTTATTTTTCTATATTGAATTTTAAATAGGGCGACAGGGTGGTGTAGTGGGTAGCATGTTCGCCTCACAGCAAGAAGGTCGCTGGTTCGAACCTTGGCTGGGTCATTTGGCATTACTGTGTGGAGTTTGCATGTTCTCCCTGTGTTCGCTTGAGTTTTTTCCAGGTGCTCCGGTTTCCCTCACAAGTTCAAAGACGTGCTATAGGTGAATTGGGTATGCTAGAACTGACCGTAGTGTATGTTTGTGTGAATGAGTGTTTATGAATGTTTCCCAGTGATGGGTTGCAGCTGGAAGGGCATCCACTGCATAAAACATATGCTGGATAAGTTGACGGTTTATTCTGATGTGGCCACCCCAGATTAATAAAGGGCCGAAAAGCTGAAAAGAAAATGAACTTTTAATGTCTTCTGTTAGATTAACTTTTTATTTGCTTTTTTATTTTTGCTTTGTAATATTGTTTTGTTGTTCTTTGAGCTGTTCTTCTTGTTATTTACAATTAATTTTTACTTTTAATAGTTTAAATTGAATTGTTAAGATAAAAAGCAGATAAATTGTAATGAAGTATAACTCACTTTACAAGTTATGTTCATATAGACTATTTCAATGTGCTCATGTCATTGGCCCATGATTATTTCCTGCTTGTTATTAAATTATTTCATAACTGACTGTAACAATAGTCAATTCAATCATATCTCAATGTTAAAACAGCTATCATAACATTATTTATCAGTATGTGGCTCTTTTTGCATTCTCGGAAGCTATAGAAATTAAATATGTAATATAGGAAATACGTTGGGACCATTGTTTTTGTTTGCATCCCTCAAAATGGTATATATTTGTATTCTAAACATTCTTTAACCATTTTATCCCCCACTCCAAAACAAAGCCTTTCAATTAAAAAAAGAAATCCTGCAATATTCCAGAAATAATGTAGAATAGAACATTTTGGATTTCATTGTGAATTTAACATTGACGCTATTAATATTGAAACAGTGAGAATGTGCATTATATATGATCGCTCAGTAACTATTTATGTAATTATAATATATAAGAGTCACCGTAAAATAAAGTGCTGTTTTTTTTTCACCAGTGTGCTTTTCACTTGTAAGTGCAAAACATAATAACTTGACTTCTGGTTTATCGTTTGGAAAAGTGACAGAAGATAGACTTTTCTGATGAATCAATAGTTGAACTGCATCCCAATCATCACAAATTCTGCAGAAGACCTGTTTTAACCCGCATGGACTCAAGATTCTCACAGAAATCAATCAAGTTTGATGAAGGAAAAGTCATGGTTTGGGATTACATTCAGTATGGGGGTCTGCGAGAGATCTGCAGAGTGGATGACAACATCAACAGCCTGAGGTATCAAGACATTTGTGCTGCCCATTACATTACAAACCACAGGAAAGGGCAATGTCTTCAGCAGGATAGCGCTCCTTCTCATACTTCAGCCTCCATATCAAAGGAAAGCAAAGAAGGTCAATGTGCTCCAGGATTGGCCAGGCCAGCCCAGTCACCAGACATGAACATTATTAAGAATGTCTGGGGTAAGAGGAGGTATTGAAGATGAATCCAAAGAATCTTGATGACCTCTGGGAGTCCTGCAAGAACACTTTTTTCGCCATTCTAGATGACTTTATTAATATGTTATTCATGTCATTGCAGAGATGTATGGATGCAGTCATTCAAGCACATGGAAGTCATACACAATATAAATTATTTTTCAACTGCACCATGACTTTATAACCTATACTGTTCATTATTTCTGTTAAGTGACAAGATTTTGTCTAAGCAACCTACAGGCCTATTAGACCTTACTCTCATAATTAAATAATTAAAAATCAAGGCATAATGAATATGTTTTTTTGTTTTGTTTTGTTTTTTTGCTAAAATAAGTGTAATCTAGAGGCTTTTGCCTTTCATAAAAGCCACTTCTGATACCAAATGATCAACTGGAAGTCAAGTTATTATTTGTTGTTTACAAAACTTGGAAAGGCAACAAGACTTTTGTCAGGTATTGTAAGCTTCTGCTCTAATTTTCTTACATTTGGCCTTTAAATGATCTGCCTGATGATTTGTGTAAACAATATACAATGGTTTCTTTAGAAATGCATTTTTCTGTAATGTTTCATTGTGTTGTGTGTAATTCATGCTATGGATAAGCTGACTGTGTGATACTATTAGTTTTGCATAGACCTGTGGTTTTTACTTGGTTGCACATGACTGATGAAGACATGCAAATTAGCGAACGTCCTACACTGTTGTGTCTGTTCATTGTTTCCCACAACATTGACCACAGCCTGTCCTGTAACCTGTCAACTCATCGTAGTTTATTTCCTAACAGGACACAGTAGAGGGTGTGACTGCCAAACCTGGCTTACCAAATTCAGGTTAGCAAACTCCATGTGCAAATCTCTATTAACATAATGTTTTTGACATTACTGCAAAGTTTGTATGCGTGTTTGAAAACCGGTCAAAGGTTTCGGTTAAGAATTATTTTTTTACATTTTATCTATTCTGCAAAAATACAATTAAAATAGTGAAATAATAGTGCAGTTAAAGTGCAACTTATTCCTGTGATTTAAAGCTGAATTTTCAGCATTACTCCAGTCTTCAGTGTCACATGATCCTTTAGAGATCTTTATATTATCATGATCTGCTGGTCAAGAAACAATCATTTTTATTAGTGTTGAACATTTTTGGACTGCTTCATATTTTTGTGGAAACTAATTTAGTACCATTTAAAAGTAAGATAAAGAATGTTGACTTGTAGGTCTGTTGGACACATTAAATTAGTCAAGAGGGAATTTAAAGACATTGTAATATAATGTAATGTAAAATATATATTTCATAAAAAAACAATAATAATATATTTCAAATTGCTCAGAATACAAAAAAATAAAGTGAAATTTCCATAAAAACTAAAGCAAGACATTTTTTTTCAACATTAATTATAAAAATCATTATTAATGATTGGATGTCAATCATAACTGCTCATAACCTAAAGTGATTATTTCTGAATGGTCATGTGACTGGAGAAATGATAACAATTAAGCTTGGAATCACAGGAAGTGCTTTCCATACATAGACTCTACTTAGACGGGCTGCCCAGGTAAATAAACACCCGCCATTACATGGCAACAATTATTATTATTATTATTTTTTTGCTATTATTATTATTATCCTTTTACACTTTTTTTTTTATATATCCACCCAAGATAACCAAATATCTGCGATCGATTAACCTGTGGAAAATTGTCTCTAGTTTACCGTTTCGTAGGCTACTGCTGGTTCTGTGTGTGCAAAAACTGTAAACACTCCCACAGACAGTCACATGCTCTGCAGACCCACAGAGATGCACCTTTTTAGCACCTAAAACATGCATCTGGCTTAGGGTTTCTAAATCACCTAATGTCCGATATTTGGCTTTCACTTTCAAAAGTTGTCATTAATTGTATCCGTTTTAACATTACCTTTTTATTTAAAAATACTTTCACTTGGTTTTGTTGCTGATTGAGCACACACAGCTGTAAAAGCGAGAGAAATATTTCATTAAGAAAACAAATAGAAACAAATAATTCATTCTTAAATCTAAACGACTCAGAAAAACTTTACTATATACTCGAAGGGGACGAAATGATATCTAAACTGGCTGCTTATAATTAATATATATTTTTAGAGATATTGTCTGTTTTTATTCCTTTTTTCTGTCATTTATTTCTCATTTGCTGTATATTTTCTTAATTTGATGATGTTAATATTTTACATAGGCTATTTTATACATGTCTAAAATGCTTTGGCAATACTGTACAAAATCATACCAATAAAGCAACCTGAACTTGAGAGAGAGAGTGTAGGTCACTCGGCAGAACTACAGTTCAAACCGCTGTGGTTAAAACCCATTCTTACAAGAGAGAGAAACAAATAACAATAAAAATAAAACAATTAAACGGTAAAAAAAACCTTTTTTTTTTGTTTTTCACATGTAATTGACCATTTATGCGTTGTGGGTAAAAGGTATGTTTTAATCTGACTACCACCGCAAGTATATTTCAACCCTGTGGGAAGCATTGACAGGGATAAATTACATTTGTAACTACATTAAATAATTTATTGGTTGTTTCAAACCGTAATAATAATTCACAGTTTTACAGATGTCCTGTGCTTTGGATCACATAAATGCATAACAGAAGTCTTACTGATCCTGAACTTTTGACTGGTAGTGCGTGCGAAACTCAGACTTGACTTGAATTCTTTATTCATGTCATGATGTCAGGTTCCGAGAGCCGATCGCTGGGTGTGTCTGTGAGTGAAATCCTCCAGGACTGTCACAGTGAGCGCAGCAGCCTGAGCCAGTCAGAAAGTGACCCCTCTGCAGATCTGGCCCTGCCTGGTGAGCTACTAACATGAACACACACATGCAGGACCCTGACAAGACTGCCTATAGAAGTTTCTATTATAAAAGCAGTTCTTCCGAGTCTGCTTTTGCAGGCGGGGTGTCTTTCATGTCCTGATAAAACCTTGTACTGTTGACTTTGAGAAAATGCAAAACAGCAAAGCCGGAGCAAGCAAATTTTTCAGCATGTTTGGCAGAACTGATGCTGTGCTGTGAGATCCTTCTCTGTTATTGCTGCCTCTTTGCTTAATTTCTACCTTTTAAGTAAGTTTTCCATTGTTTAAAAGCATTTTTGCTATTTTCTCATTCACATAATAGTTTAACCGTTCTCTGTTCTTAAGTGCAGTGTTTATTCAAATATTCATTGGATAGATGTGAATAATTCCCCTGACATTTTGATTATTATTGTGGATGTTAAATTAAACAAAGAAAATGCTAAGATTTCTCTTTCACCTATGATGAAAATCAACCTTGTAAGCTGTCTGTACAGAACTGTGTGCAGTTATAATGTGTCCACATCATATTGAAGTGATATACACACAAAAAGTCTCTTTTTATTTATTTTTTTAATTTCCTGACATTAAAATAGGATCCAAATCCCTCCTATTTTAAGGTCCATCGCAACATGACATAGAAATGCGGTTTCCCCACCCACCAAATTTATTGATATTAACATGTGTATTAACATGTCTCCGTCTCCGTAACGTGTATAATACACATGATCATTAAATGTGGTCAAGAATGAGTTTTACAAGATTAAAGCGTTTCTAAAACATTGGATGTTTGTAATAAATATAGTTAAATCACTGTAGTTTATCACCACACCCTCTAAGTGTCAGTAAAATTATAAAAGAAGATGTGGTTTGTGGAATTAAATCAGGTTTATTTTGTAAATTAACATAATTGATGTCCATACAGCAGTGGATGTTAACATGTGCAAAAACAGTGCAAAGCCAAACGTGTATGCGCGCACACAAGCAATCTTTATAAAGACATTTGTGTGTGACTCATCATTGCAGAAGGGCTTAAATTAACTCCACATCAGATAAAACAAATAACCATTGGGAAAGTTCTTACTGTAGTAAGGGAGATCTGCTTTATTCTAGTCTGTCAGTGTGCTGTTCGTCTATGTGAAGGCTATGGCTCTGACACACACATGGGAACGGTGGGCTGGGAGAACCAGCTCATTCGCATTAAAAGGCACAGGCAAAAAATACAGCTTCAATGTTATAACAGCTCAAATTTCCCAGATTTGAAAAGGTATAGTAAATAACCAGATGGGTATTTTGAGCTGAAACTTTACAGACACATTTTGGAGACACAACAGATTTATATTAAATCTTGAAAAAGGGTTCAAATAGATGCCTTTTAATTAAGTTTACTTTTAATTGTACTAGTAATTGAACTAGATCATTTAATTTCATAATAAATGCTTTGAATTTTTCTTTTTATATTTATGTATCAATATTCACCTATTTCTAAGAAGAATATTTCTTTTGCTATAGAAGTCCATTTTCACCACATAAGAAAAAAATATCCATACTATTTTTGTTTAGAATCTTCTGCATAATCAATCAAGATCGATTGACTTGTTCACTCTGCAGGCTTACTGTGACTTTATCTGTAGCTGTCTTTCCGTTTCAACTGAGAAATTCTACACATTTATTACATTTAAACTAAAAGTGCTGCTTTTTATTTAATACATTTCCCTTTATAAATGGTCTTTTGGATTAAAGTGGTTTCTCACATAATACTAAAAATGAATTGAAGAGGTCAGTATAAAACTATAAATCTTCCTTGTTCTTGTAATTTTAGAGCAGTTGCTTTAGTACTTTATGACTAAAGCAGCAACATTCACCAAGTCATGAAACATACTAGCCAGGGGTTAAGATGACCTTAATACTATAATATATAAAGTGTGTTTTTTTTCTTGTGTGTCAGAAATGGGCTTCCAATCTGATATTGTGTATCTTATGCATGTGTTATGCTGTGCTGTCTCCTAACCCTCTCTCTTTCTTACTGAACTTGGCTTGCTCTTAACACACATAGCGTCTGAGTCGTGGTCAACTGCTGTAGAGGAGTGTTGACTCGGGTAGGTCACCACTTTCATAGATAAATCAATCTTTTGACCCATTGTTCATTTACACATTATATGCACAGTTACATATTTTCTAATGATTTTTATGTAAAAGCTTGAATGTCTAGCATCTCATGTATGATGGAAACTTCTTCTTAAAGGTCCAGTGAAGGGCTTTTGAAATAAACATTTTTGTTTCAATGTTTGACAATCTCAAGTGAAACGCGAAGAGAGGGTGGGACATAGAGTAGCTCCTCTCCTTTAAAAAAAAAACAGCCAAGAGTGTTTTGTTTTGTCACATCTTATGACATGAAGAAAAATCATTCATCCATTTGAGTGGAAGTGACAAACTGCAAGCTTTGGATGTTTTTATCAGTTTTATATCTTCCAAACACAAATTTTTTCACTGTTTTTGAGCACACTAGTTATAGATGTCTTTAAAACTAACAATACCCTTACTAACATCTAAAAAACTTTATTTTAATTTTATGGGACATTTAATTCTTATACTTCTGCGTTGAGTGATCGTCATACCCTATGGCATATACCTTGCACTTAGCCCGCACAATTGTGAGCATTTGCTCTTCCGTTCTGTTTGTGATGTTCTGGCAATAACACATCTAAAATCCAACTAGCCATGGGGTTTGTATTGTTCCTCTGTGCCGAGTTCCTTTGCCGGTATTTTGTTTTAAACCAAAAATGGTTTTAACCTTTTTCAATTTTAAAGCTGAAAAAGTTTATACAGCATGAAGCTTGTCAAATTCTTGTTTTTCACTTGAATCCAGTTGCGTTTTTACCACCTACTGATTAATAACCTTCTGACCTGCCAGTGGCATTTCTTGTAAAATAAAGAGAACTTGTATCTTAATTTAGTTTTAGTCTATTAACTCAAAGATAATTTGAACAATTTTGAAAACCAGTAGCTATTAACTTCCATAGTTTTTAAAAGTAATATTATTTCTTCTTTTGTAGAAAGAAAAGAAATAAGTGTTTGAAGCCACCTGAGTGTGAGTAAATGTTTAGTTCTTTGGTGGAACTATGCCTTAAAGGAGTAGCTCAACGTGAGATGATAATATCGAGTAGCACATTTTAGACACAGTATGTTGTATATTTATTTTTCTTTTATTTGATTAAGAAAAACAGTTTGTAGTCGGCGCCAGTGGTGTAGTGGTTAGTGCGTCAACATATGCACTCTGGTGCTCATGGCGACCCGAGTTCGATTTCCACATTGTGGTCCTATGCCGATCCTTCCCCTTTCTCTGTTCCCTATTCTTTCATGTCAATACTCTTTACCGTTCTGTCCATTTAAGGTGAAAACACAGAAAAAAATTATTTTTTAAAAAAGGAAAAGAAAAACAGTTAGCTAAAGAAAAAACCATCAAATATTTATATTTTTAATGATAATTTTTTTTTAATTATCCACTTATAAAGTCTTCTCCTAAATGAATTGCTTTAATGAAATCTCAAACACAAAGTCAGGGACTTGCCACCACCTACTGGCGGTTTTTGTGTCATTTATTAATCCATGACTATTACCAAATTACATTATCTCATAAAAATAAAGATACTATGTTTTCCTCTATCATGCACCTCAATCTTTTTGCCTCAATCTCCGTCCTGTCTTCACTTCCTCAGGGTCATCAGAGTCCATAGAGAGCCTGAAGAGTCAGAGCACCAACAGCTCCAGTCAGCCTCTGCTCTGCCTCCCCAGCAGCCTGCGCATGGAGGATGAACACCTCACATCATAAACACTCAAATCACTCTACTCCCAATCCTGGACACTATTGTTCAATCAAGACATTTTGAGTACCACAATCAAAGTCTTACGTTGAAAAGTTCAAGACATTTCACTGTTACAGGAAGTCTACATGCTAGCTTAAAGAAACACTTAAAAAATAGGTTTACTTTACAAGTCTCTACAGTTAAGCATTTGAGTTTTACTATTTTGAAATGGTCTGGGTCTAGCTGGAGAACGTTTAGTTTAGCATAAATCTTTGATTCAGATTAGACCATTAACATCTCACAAATTTTTTTTTGCTGAATTCTTTCAAAAATGATGAAACTCAGCTGTTTAACTGGGGAGGTGAAAATGGGTGTATTCCCACAAAGATCTGCAGTGTTCCTTAAAAAAAATCAAGTGTAAAAACCGTCAAACCTGGGCTTTTAGAGTCAAAAACATTTCAGTGGTTCAAAATATTTTCATAGGTGCCCAGTCTTTTTGATGTATGCAGCATAATGGTGATTTTAAGACTGTGTACTTGATTTATTCTTATTGTTTTTTTTGTTTTTTTTTAAATCAGCAAGTGAACACTAAGTGCATCAGATTGCAGTCTAGTACAGACACATAGTATAATCATTTATCCAGTTGAAGTAATTCTCTATGTCTGTATCTTCTATATTTGTTTTGTGCCTTACATTACTGTGTGGCTGTCCCTTTGTCCACCCTTCAAACCATGCAATGTGGGAAGCTGTAGCACTTCTTGAAGCTTTAATGAGTAGTTTATAGAGGGATCTGCCATCATTTACAAACATATCTGATGCTTTTAGTGAATTCTCTGCTGCTTATCTATGTGATGCACCTTTAAAAGTTATGTATATTTGTATGTAGTCAAATCGTTTTATCATAAAGTGTTGTACACTAATGCCAGTCGCTGTGGTTATTTATTGAAAATGCATAAATTATGTAAAGATCCTGCTTATCTGTGTAAATCCATATTCTAATAGCTGGGTCGTTCCTTGTAGTTGGTACTTTCTAAACTCTTAAAAGAAATTTTTGTATGTGAAAAGTAGGCAAAATATTTTGGAATAGTTTATACTATTGTTCAGATAGTTCAAAATAGTTTAAAGAGGACCAAATATGCTTAAATAGGGCTATTAAATGCTGTTATTTAAGATGAATTCAAATGAAGGTTGTTGATCAATTTTAAGGCAATGATATCGTGATCTTATGGCAAAAATAGGTACAGAATAAAAGAAAAACATGCAAAGAATAATTTCTGATAATACCATATAGAATTTTCCATTGAGAAAGTACATAGATTGACAGACATGCACTATTGCTCAAACGTTTGGAGTAATACTATTAATTATTATTATTTATTTTTGATCAACGAAATATCTTATTTCTAACTATTTGATTGATAGATTGTGGCTAGCGTAGGGATATTGTTCAGCCAGTGGGTGGCAGTGTATTCTCTGTTTTGGAAAATCCTCATTTTCTCTGACAAAACTTCGGTAGTTTCTGAAAATCCAGTAAAGCTATTATTTACCCAAAGTACACCAAGCCTCCGAGAAAACGGCTACATGTTTGACAATGTGGTGTGTAAGCTAATGCTTTGACTGTAAGGAGAGGGTCATAGAGGTCTCCTGCGGCGGGATGATTGGCGCGCTCTTGTAAAAGCGCGTCACTGTTTTCATTCTTGCGCGCTTCTTTCATTCTTGGCGCGGGCGCAAAGTTTATTATCAACGACTTTTAACGACTTACTCGAGGAAAGTGCACTCTTAAAAATATATTTTCTTTAAACCCTGCCACTCCACAGAACGTTTTTATAGTGGAAAATGAATGCCCTTTAAGAACAAAAGGGGTTTTTTGGGAACCAAAGAATGATATTCTAAAGCATCACTGCAAAAAAAAAAAAAAAAAAAGAATGTAGCAAATTTCATTTTACAATGTATGCCTAGTTAGTGTTATTCTAAGGCAAATAATCATAATAATAAATAAATCGTAGATCCTCGAATGTGATGCATTTTAATCAAGACAACTTTGTTAATTTAAGAGGTGAAAAACAACATTTAATTATTCAACACTATAATTGCACCAAAATAAGCACCTGTAACATCTTCATCTGATAAAACGAGTTTCAAGCTGTGGTCCGGTTTGGGACCCCTTGATGACCGCATTTAAGGCATTGATAAGAGGTTCATTGTAACGTTTGTAGACAAAAGCATTGCAACAAATGCAAAATATATATTTTGAAAATATATATATATTTAATTAAAAGCTATAAATAAAAAAACAAAACAACAAAAGATCTGTGGCATGTAAAAGCCTGAAGCCCCCAGAATGCGCTCATTGCGCAGGGACAATGACATGTTCTACTCTGGAGCTCTCAGCCAATCAGAGAGCGTCAACATTTAAAGGGCTATTAAGAAACGGGCAAAACGGCGGAGTGCGGAGCCCGCATCTCATTTCTTTCCTGTTGTTCACTGCTTACGAGTTACGACACAATAACTGCTTCCACTGGACTTTCTTGAAGACGAGATTGGAATGCTACTTTTTTCCAGCAGACATCAGGACATGTGTGATTGTGTGGACGCGCTCCGTTATCCGCTGCACTTGTTGCTCTGAGAAGAACAGGCTGAATCTAACGGACTGAAGAGACATACACCGCTACCGCTCAAACATACGAGTTATTCGGCGTGTTTTCATTTCGCAGGTAGGCAGTTTGTTTAGGAGATCAACTCTGTGGTGGATTATTTACAATCATACGCTTATATTAAATTAGTTAGCTACTTTATTTTATTAGCCGTTATTTTCGAATATTCAAGCGTGTCTGTCTGTCGTTCACAGATCTGCTCTTTCTAAACTCGCGATCAAGATGCCGGTGTTAATGAGTCCTGAAATAGCGAATAAATTCAAAGAGAAATGGCTGATGCTTCATCCGGAGGATCAGGATAATGTCAGCGGCTCTGTGCACTTTGACGACAGTCTCACTAGTCTGCACTGGCTGCAGAACTTCTCCATCCTCAGTGCCAACCCCGAGAGGACTCCCAGCTCCGGCTGCCACCCGCAACACCTCTTTTACTACAAAAACCAGCTGGGGGGTACCGACTCGCCCTCCAGTCCACCTGCCGGAGATACCGCCGCCACAGGGATGCCACAGACACCTGGGAATCCCACAACGTCCTGCAGCAGTTTGGCCAATCCATACGCGCTTCAGCAAGCCGGACACTACATAACGGGGCAAACAAACCCGGCTGAGGAGATAGACTATAAAACAAACCGCCACGTGAAGCCACCCTATTCATATGCCACTCTGATTTGCATGGCAATGCAAGCCAGCAACAAGACCAAAATCACCCTGTCAGCCATATACAGCTGGATCACCGAGAACTTCTGCTACTACAGATACGCAGAGCCGAGCTGGCAGGTAAATTCAGTTTATTTGTTTCTCTGAGGATCATTTAGAGGGGTTCTTTCTTTATCTATTAATTGTCATGTGTACCATGTTTCAAAGACATTTTTGAACATATGCAGCAGGTGCAACGACCTGATATAGGGTTATTTTTAACGACTCTTTAACGGTTCCATTAACGACCCTTATTACTTATTTTGGAAATAAATACATGCAGACAGTTCTCTTCGAATTCACTGCCTGTAGCGTGTTTTTTCTGAATTATAAGATCATTTAAGTTAATAGAGATGAGCAGTAAAAAGAGCATTCATCTTAAAACAAAAAAGTGTTTACCAATAAACACTTTTGGAAATAATTATAATTTCTGTTCATTACTAGGTAATTTAGTAATCCAATAAACCGTTAGGACAAAATCATTAATCATTAATTCATTAATTGTAATCAAAATCATTAATTTCAAGGTCTGATTCATTAGGAGAACCGATTCAAAAGAGTCATTAATTTAAGCATCAGTCATTAATTAACGAATCTCTTCGGATTTTGCAGCTTTGCTAATGCGTGTTTACAGTTCTCATTACAAAGTGCCAAAGTCTTTTGATTGGTATAATTGGACTATATATATATATATATATATATATATATATATATATATATATATATATATATATATATATATATATATATATATATATATATATATATATATATATATATATATATGTGTGTGTGTGTGTGTGTGTGTCTGTGTGTCTGTGTGTGTGTGTGTGTGTGTAACTATGAATATTTTGATTCACTAAAGAGGATTCGATTCATTATAGTTAATTAGATTAATAATAGTTAATCGTTTGGTAATGACACTTCTTATGTCACGCAGTTTATTTCTACATCACTATAATGAATCGATTCATGAGAGTGAATCGTTAGGTGATCGGACTGCCTTTGTCAGATTGTATATTTCTGTTTTGTCAAAACAAATCGATTCATGCTGGTAAAAGCTGACTCAAGAATGTTACTTTTGTCATGCTGTATATTTCACATTTTCCTTCAAAAAAGGATCTATTGATTATGTTTGGTACTTGAATTTTTTATCACACTGTAAAGATTTCTTATTAAATGAAAAGAATTATCGCATATCTTTGTCAAGCCATATATTTCAAATTTACTAAAAAAAATAAAAATAAAAAATAAAAAAAATCATTTCATAGCCTTCCAGTCAAACAACTGTTAAACAGACTGCTCTTGTCATGCTGAATATTTCTAATTCTTTAAAAAGTATCGATTCAAAAGAGTCAATTGTTTAGTACTCTGGTCAATAATCTGACTTCAACTGTATATATATTTATGAAAATATTAAATAAAATAGATTTTTTTTAAAAGTCATTAGTTCTGGAATCAGATTACAGTTGTAGCACTATATTTTTCAGATACTCAATAAAAATAACTTAATTTTAAGAGTCTCCTGCTTTGTTAATCAGATTACTCCTGTCATGCTTTATATTGTACCTAAAAGAATCAATTTCTAAGGATCAATAGTTCTGGAAACAGATTACACTTACATGTTAGCTCTGCATTTTTCTAATACTCACTAAAAATGATCAAATTATAAGAGTCACTTGCTTTAGTAATCAGACCACACTTGTTGCATATTTTCGATTTTATAAAAGAAATCCTAGTCATTTAGTTAGGAATCAAATTAACTGTAGTCTGTCAATACAGAACTACCAAAACATTGAGCCATAGACCAAATAACTGGTGTCAGACCTGTGCACTCATGTGAGATGTGTTAATATACTTAATGTTAAGGCAGGGTGACTGATGATGGAAGCTGAGACCACTATACCCAAGAGCACTGGTTTCCTGAGGCCTTCTGCCCTAATGAGGGATCCTTAAGGGAGCCGCTGATCATGTGAAACTAGAAGTGCTGCATTACTAGAGAGCTTTATTCACCGCATTTTCTTCTCCTGTACACACAACATTCCCCTCCCCCTTTTGTCTCTGTCACACACACACACACACACTGAGCCAATGAAATAGGATACCTCTACCTGTTGCACAAAGGGATTTTATAGGAGCCTTTATGCATGTTGTCTTTTTCCGCCACAAGAAGTTATTGTATTTATGCTAAATTATAATGCTGGCTTATAATTCAGTTAAATTAGTTTCGTAATGATATATTTTACAGTATAAAAATGCTAAAATACATATTGTAAATTAAAGTACTATAAAATACTCACTTGAAGCAAATGGAAATAGAAAGAATGAGAAACAGAATTTGCATTGTGTTTCTATTTACTGTGACCTATTTATTTGTTACACTTTATTTTAAGGTATAATTCTACAATTCACACACGCACGCACACACGCACACACTCATTCATTCATTCATTCATTTTCTTTTCAGCTTAGTCCCCACGCGAACACAGGGAGAACATGCAAACTCCACAAATAAATTCCAACTCACCCAGCTGAGGCTCGAATCAGCGACCTTCTTGCTGTGAGGCGACAGCATTACCTACTGCGCCACTGCATCACCTATATATCATCCTTATATCCTTATATAATATCCTGTTCACTAAGGCTGCATTTATTTAATCAAAAATACAAAACAAATAGTAAAATAGTGTATTGCACCATAAAAATAACTATTCAAAAGTAGTTTATCATTTTATTTAATAATTTATTCCAGTGATTTTGAAAATGAATTTTCATCTTTATTATTCCAGTCTTCAGTAACATGATCCTTCAGAAAACACTCTAATATTATTTATCATTATTGTTATTATTATTAATATTACTGTTATTAATGGTAATAGTAATAAAAGCAATAATGAAAGGAGTAGTAATTTCATTTGAAACTACATACAATAAGAAAGCAGTTATTTAAAATGTTAATAAATATCTAACAATTACATTTATTTTTACATTTAATAAACGCCGCCTTTATGAACAGAGTAATTTTCTTTAAAAAGACATGACAAAAATAAATAGATAAAAATGACCCCAAACATTTGACCTGTAGTGTATATAGAACATAAAACTAATTTGGTAACACTTTTTAATAACTACACACTATGAATCATTTATTAAGCATCAGCAAATAGTAAATTCATTATCTGTTAAGCATTAACTCTACAATAATAAATGTAAGTAAGCAGTTTATAACAGCAGATACAAATCCTCTATTCTTGACCTGTAAGCACATATACTGTATAATGTGCTTAATTATTGAATTTTCATACTTTGTTAATTAGTATGTTTTCATTAGTAAAGTAAGTATTGCACAATTTACAAACTAAATATTTGAGACAAGGGGCTGGTCTTTAAAGATTATTCAGAATGTGTAAGTAAATGTTTATTAAACTGTTCAAATTAACATTTATAATTCTCATTATACAGGCACATATTAATAGTTAATTTGTAAGTTTATAAATGCTGTTTTAACTCAACTTCATCCAGTTTTTTTTTTACCTAATCTAAAGTGAGGATTATTTATGCTTTATAAATCCCTCATAAAGGACAATTAAAGGCTCAGTTATATTCTAAAAAAGAAAAAAAGAACTTTATTCCTTTCTATTCATTTGAAGATACACAAATAAATCTGTCTTAAATGAAAAATAAATATTTGCAATCTTAGCTAAAATAAAATTTGTGTACTGTTTAAACATCACTAAATGACATTGAAATGTTGTATCGTAATATATTGTTAAATTATTATACTGTTGTTTTTTATACAGTTTCATGTTGTATTTTGACACTCCTGTTATTCAGCAATTTTTAAACTCTACAGGAATTTAACTTTTTAGATAATATTGCGAAGATGTGTTGTTTATTTGATACTGAGCCTTTAATTATCATTTACAGTATAAGGGATTTATAAAGCATAAATAATCCTCACTTTAGATTAGGTCCCAAAACTGGATGAAGTGGAGCTAATAAAGCGTTTATTAATATATAAATTAAATATTAGTGTATGCCTGAATAATAAGAGATATAAATGTTGATGTAAAATGTTATAAATTATCGCAAATTCTGATATACATACACACACACACACACACACACACACACACACACACACACACACACACACACACACACACACACACACACACACAATAGTTCTGTCTGGTTCTTGAATCTGATTGGCTGATAGCCATGATATATTTAAGTAATATCAGCACCCGAAGTGGAGCTAATAAAGCGTTTATTAATATATAAATTAAATATTAGTATACGCCTGAATAATAAGAGATATAAATGTTGATGTATTGTAAAATATTATAAATTATCGCAAATTCTGATATACATACACACACACACACACACAATAGTTCTGTCTGGTTCTTGAATCTGATTGGCTGATAGCCATAATATATTTAAGTAATATCAGCACCCGTAAAGTCTTTTTACCTTTGTGTTTACCTTTGTGTATGACTCCACCCACATACAACCAGCAAAAAGCAGATCTAAAGTTTAAAAAATGCTTGCTCAGCTGTTTAACTGTCAGCTTATGATTTGAATCCAAGGCGGAAGGATTGCGGCCTCGTGCCAACGCACGCCTCCCACCAGTGCTGATATACAGCCATATCGCACTGCTACTCGTGTGATATTGCGTTTATACAACAGTTTGACTGCATAATTGTGTATAGAAAAACAAAATCAAACACGGAGAGTTTCAAAAACCCTTTTGTATGTAGAACTACTTTCTTCCGCCTTGGATTCAAATCATAAGCTGACATAACCTGCTTTTTGCTGGTTGTATGTGGGGCGAGTAATACACAAAGGGTAAAGAGGCTGTAGGAGTTCTGATATTGCAGAATATTGCACAGCTATCAGCCAATCAGATTTGAGAACCAGACAGAACTGTTGTAAATATATATATATATATATATATATATATATATATATATATATATATATGCAGGGAGAACATGCAAACTCCTCACAGAAACGGTTACTGACCCAGCCGAGGCTGGAACCAGAGACTTTCTTGCTGTGAGGCGACAGCACTACCTACTGCCAGTATGGACTCATAGACTCTCTCCCTGATAATTTGAATAATTGAACATAATATTAATTATATAAATTAAAAATCAGAGCCTCAAGAGTTTGACCCTTTAGCTCTACCATATTTAATGTGCACTTGTACACAAAAATGTATGGATTTTGTGTAAACTACTCAAGATAATGTAGCATGTTTGTATTGACATGTATTGTGACACCATATCCCGTATAAATAATAAATGTTTCTCCTAATTTTTCTTGGGTTTTTCAGAACTCAATCCGCCACAACTTGTCCCTGAACAAGTGCTTCATGAAAGTGCCCAGGCAGAAAGACGAGCCAGGAAAAGGAGGCTTTTGGCAAATCGACCCTCAGTACGCTGACATGTTTGTGAATGGCGTTTTCAAGAGACGGCGAATGCCTGCCACAAACTTCAATACCCAGAGACAAAGCAAAATGCTTTCCTCCCCGAGCTCCTCGTACACCTCCCAGTGCAACCAACAAATGGGCATGGGCCACTTCCAAGGAAACAAACGCAAGCAAGTCTTCCCCAAACGCGGGAACAAGCTAGCCCGTATCTCCAAGAGCCCTCTGTTAACCAGTGACATCAAAACCTCAGACGTCCTGAGAGGAGACTTTGACCTGGCGTCGGTTTTCGATGACGTCCTAAGTGGGAATGACAGCACGTTTGAGGATTTGGATATCAACACAGCTCTAAGCTCGCTAGGATGCGAAATGGAGCCGTCTTCCCAGATCCACAACCAGTCTGGTTATAGCAACGAGGATGAGCAGGCTTGTGCTTACCTGGAGGCCAACGGCATTATTGGATGCAACATGGAGGACTTCCACCACCAGCAGCACCACCAGCAAGCACAGGTCCACCCGCAATATTACGAGGGGATGTTCTCGGATCAGCAGAATCAACAACATCCTTGGGAGATTAAAGAGGAAGCCCAGCCAGTCCCTCTTTCGTTGGATCACGGCTATGCGTTTTGTGAGGGATTCTTCTCAGAGATGCAACTTTGGGAAAGAGGAGAGTCATATATGTGAACGCATGACATATACACGCACTGTCTTTGCTGGTCTGAAGATCTACTGACTCTTGTTTTGCTACATTAGCATAATGAATTACAGAAGTTACCTGTAATTATTATTCTTTGTACTTCTTTTTTGCATTTTTTACCAGTTGGTTTATAATCACTATTGATCTTTTGATTTTATTGTCATTTTTCTTAAGATGAATACACTTTGTTGACAAATGTAGTTGTGTAGGATAGTGGCATTTTATTCCTGTATTGATTAATTGATCTAATATATTCATTTTAGTTTACTTTATATTCTAGGCGATGCTTTATATACATACGTCTAACATTAAAAACGAAATACACTATGACATTTTTGAGGGAAAAGGGATGCAACAAGCCGAAAGTGCTCCGCAAAATCAATTCCAGAGACAAATAAACGCACAAGCACTTTGAAACATAAGCTCAGTTTGTTGCCCTGCGATTTAGCCTCATCGTTTATTTTCTCTCTTTAGTAAGGATATTCCACTGGAGAGTAAAGTGTCCCGTGAGAGCCCTCGTACGTTTCAGAATGTAATGCATTAGTTTCAGATTTACCATGAAGTGTGGGTGGCCATCTCACGACGCAGTGACTGTTCTAGAAGTGTACTTGTATTGATTCTTTGAGAAATGGACTAAAACATGCAACGTGAAACAAAATATATTCTGTACTTGAATAAAAAGATCAATCTGTACAACTGCTTTTGTTCTGTTGCTAATGATTTTTGCCTATTGAATCCCATTTGATGATTTTTAATTAGTTGTATTCAAATTACAGTATGCTTTGTTGTTCTTCAAAAAACGTCATTCATTAATATTATTGGTATCTTTAAAGACATTTAAAGGGATAGTTCACACACACAAAACAAATTCATCAGTTATAAATGCCATCATTTATTCACCCAGTTAGATTTTTTGATAACACTTTAAGGTTCATTAGTTAATGCATTTAGTAACATGAACTAATCAAGAAGAACACATGTACAGCATTTATCAATCATAATTGAACATTTACTAATGCATTATTAATATTCAAGTCCATGCTTGTAACATTAGTAAATGCACTGAGTTAACATGAACTAACAATGAACTACTGTATTTTCATTGACTAACGTTAACTAACATAAACAATTACAGTAGTAAATGTATTGTTTATTGTTTGTTCATCTTAGTAAATGCATTAATTAACATTAACTATTGTACCTTATTGTAAAGTATGACCGATTTTTTTTTTTTTTTTTTTTTGTTCTGTTGAACACAAAATATGATATTTTAAAGAATGTTGGAAACCTTTAACCATTGATTGTTATAGTTTTCCCTACTATGAATGTCAGTGGTTATAGGTTTCCAAATTTTTCTTAATCTCTTTAAATTGTGCTCTGTGGAACAAACAAATCTCACACTAGTTTGTAACAAGTAAAGGGTGAGTTTTCATTTTTGTTTGAACTATCCCTTTATGAACTATTACTTGAATTAAATGTTCAGACAAAACAGACGTTAAAGCTAATAAAGCTAATAAAGTTTTGAATGCTAATAACAATGCTGTAAAAATTATTCCAGTTTCAGTAGTATCTGGATGCCTTTATGATGCAAGCTGAGATTGCATACTGTATCTCAAAGATGCAATGTCAGACACAATGCACTCAGTGGAGCTTGTGACATCACTGCGACGGGTAAGCTTAAGGGTGGGGTTAGGCGAGCCCATTCAAATGCATTGCATGCAGCTCAGATTGCAAGTGACAAGTGGTTTGAAGTTTTTATAGGGGTTGACTTTTAGCACTCCTATTGGTTTTTGGTTTTTGGCAGCCAATCAGCTGCTGGTGAAAATGTCAATGTTCATAGACTATAGATTTTACCCTAGGGTTATAGAAATCTTTGGATTTCCAAAATTTCAAAGAGGCACCTTGATGTCAAAAAACAACATCAAATTGACACCAGCTATGTTTCCATCCACCTATTTTATGCGCATTTTGGATGTGCGCATAAAAACCGGTTGATGGAAACATCAAGATGCTTATAATTTTGAAAATGGACATTAAAAAAACATATGTGCATAACTGAGTAGAATAGACTTTTTATTTAATAAGACAAGATGTGCATAAACTACCATGGAAACATTTTTACTGAACAAATTACAGTATGTGCATTAAAAAAGGTCATGTGATTTTGTTATAAGAGATCATGTGAGCATAAAAATGTGTGTGAATGGATAAACCAGCAGGCTGACTACAATATAAAACATCTGAAAAGTTGTTTTTTTCATTCTAAAAGGCTTTAACCGATTGATTATTAACGTTCACTACTTGTCAGTATTGCCTGCTGAGGCGCAAGTCATTTATTAAATAAAGAAAAGATTGACTCAGCTTCTCCTACGACACAAATTCAGTTTTTTCTGTTGAAATTTGGCACCAGTTAATCAGGAAGTGATTATTTTGTTCACTTTGACTCTTTGGATGGAAACACTGCTTTATTTGCACGTTTTGTACGCAACATTCCAGTCTTGTGCATAAAGTTCATTCACATTTTTGGAAACATAGCTACTGACATTAAAAACATTACAAAAATGCTAACCGATTTCAAAAATGCTAACTGATTTCAAAAATGCTAATTGATTTTAAAAATGCTAATTGATTTGATTTCATATCCCTTTGATGTCCACACACTGATGCCTTTTGACCACCAAAATAATGACATAAAAAGTATAATAAATGTTTTATGTCTAAATTGTACATCCATGTAGTCAGTTGACTACCTTGATGTCAAAACAACATCAAATTGACATCTAACACTGGCATGAGAAAACGTTAAAAATGGATTTCAGGACAGTCTTGTAATCAAATTTTGATGCCAATGTTAGATGTCAATTTTGTGTCATTTTGACATCAAGGTAGTCAACTGACATAAACTTTCCCAAATCATTGCCAAAGTTGCATAGTGTAAGGGCTGCAAAATATATCGTTTCAGCATCGATATTGCAATGTGATCCTTTACAATAGTCACATCGCAGAATATGCAATGTTGAGTTTGCATTGTATTTCATCTTTTGCATGTGCTTTTGAGATCTGTGTCTGTATAATGATTTTAAAGCATTCAGGAATAAGACACTATACTGTTCCTAAACTTTAATAATGATTCATTTTTATTTTTATTATTCGGTTACCACACCTGAATGATGCTAGACTCTGAAAACACTAAAATACTGTTTATTTCAATTGTATATTTTTCTCTATTGTATCTCTGCTAGAGGCCATGGTTTTTAGCCTCCTTGGTAGAACACACGATTCCCCTGCGGAAGGTCGCTGGTTCGATACCAGCTTGGAGCGGGTTGGGTGACTTGGGACCGGCGGAGTTACATATAGTTGAAGTCAGAATTAATAGCCCACCTTTGATTTTATTTTTTCAATATTTCCCAAATGATGTTTAACAGAGCAGGGACATTTTTACAGTATGTTTGATAATATTTTTTCTTCTGGAGAAAGTCTTATTTGTTTTATTTTGGCTAGAATAAAAGCAGTTTTAATTTTTTTTTAAACTATTTTAAGGTCAAAATTATTTACCCATTTCAGCTAACTTTTATTTTTGATAGTCTACAGAACAAACCATTATACAATAAAATTAACCATACAATAACTTGCCTAATTACCCTTACTTGCCTAAATAAACTAATTAACCTAGTTAAGCCTTTAAATGTCACTTTAAGCTTTATAGAAGTGTCTTGAAAAAATATCTAGTAAAATATTATTTACTGTCATCATGGCAAAGATAAAAACAATAAGTTATCAGAAATGACTTATTAAAACTAGCATGTTTAGAAATGTGTTGAAAAAAATCTTCTCACTGTTAAACAGAAATTGGGAACAAATAAGCAGGGGGGCAAATAATTCAGGGGGCTAATAATTCTGACAATATAAATATATGTATGTATATATTGCAAATATCAAAATATTGCAATATTAGATTTATTTTAATATTGTGCAGCCCTGGTGTGACCCAACGTACACTCACACTTGTTAATACACTGATCCCATAATACACGTGCACAATGTCAATTTTCACAAAGCTGCATTTTTGTACTTTACATGATATCATGTTTTATCTTTAAAATGTGCACTTTGAAAGAGTTTTCAGGCCCTCAAAATGCTTCTGTTGTGTGAATGAATGGCCAACATACATGAAACATTTTCAGTTCTTCATGATTAAATATTTAAAATTAAAATACTATTTAAAATAGTATTCTTTTTGCTTTAACTACTGAACATGCTAAAGCTTTAAAAGAAGATGCCTCAGTTATTTAATAAACTAGTATGTTTTTTTTTGTGTGTGTGTTTTTATGATTTATTTATGGGGCGACATGGTGGCTCAGAGGTTAGCACTGTTGCCTCTACATGTTCTGTCCTTGTTGGTGTGGGTTTCTTCTGGGTGCTCCAGCTTCCCCCACTGTCCAAAGACATGTGCTATAGGTGAATTGAATAAACTAAATTGGCCGTTGTGTATGAATGTGAATTAGTGTGTATGGGTGTTTCCCAGTGCTGGGTTGTGGCTGTAAAGGCATCTGCTGAGTAAAACATATGGTGGAATGATTGGCGATTCATTCTTCAGTGGCAACCCCTGATAAATAAGGGACTAAGCTGAAGGAAAATGAATGAATGATTTATTTAGCCAACAAATTTCAAACCTACCTTTTTCAAATAATTTCTATTGGCTAGACTGCAATAAGATTGTTTTGGTTGTTAATCATTTTAGTTCCTTATGACAAATTGTAATAATAGTCTACCACACATACATTACCAGCATTCCATGGTCTTATTCAGGTGGCTATTTGTGATTTATTGTCAGAGCGGTTTGATTATTGACTTGGAAATACAGTGAAACATGTTCAGGCTGGCCCACATTGCTCAGATTACAGTCAGTTTCACTTCAGTTTCACAGTTTCACAGTCAGCAACAGCTTTAAGCTTCACTATAGATGTTTGACTAGCATGACCTTTACCCTTTACATCACCATGAGGCATCAAAGAGCATCAAGTGTGTCTGAATTGACAACTACCGGTTCAGGGAACCAGCTGACCGAGCTCATTTTCGTTTAAAGAAAAAAAGCTACAATCTCCTTTCACCCCAGAATTGGACTTTTCTCTAGATCATAATAAGTGATCTGATGGCAGTTTTGAGCTGAAACCTTACAGACACATTCTGGAGACACTAAAGACTTATCTTGGATCTTGTAAAACAGGTAAAATAGGAACCCTTTAAACATTAATGCCTGTCTTATGTGTAGTTTAAGTATTTTATTTTATAGTATATGTTAGTTATTCACAGTTTTTTTTAAATGGCTCTTATGTCCAGTGTTGTATTTTTATGAATACTCTATGAAAGCAAGACACAACATTTCATTCCTCTGTATGTCCACACATGTAGCGAAATGACAATAAAACTTGATTTGATTGATTAATGTTGTTTTTTAAAGTGTTACTGAATTATTAAGGAGAATAAAAGATGAGACCCAATTTTTTTTTATGTTATTTTCTGTCTGTTTTACTCTAAACATTAATAGATCTGACTGAACTGGTGACTTCTGTTCAAATGGAGCAGTCAAACTAGGACAGAAATGCTCTTTTTAGTAACTTGTGTTTTACTTTCTTTCAAGTTAATTTCCTTGCTGTGCCTCCCAGCTTGCAAAATAATCCAGCTGACTTGAATAT